GCAGGCCAGCAGTGGCAGTAGTCCCCCCATCCTCCGGTGGGCTTAGTTTAAAGCCCAGTGGAGCAGGTCAGCCAGTCTGGCTGAGAAGAGCCTCCTCCCAGCAGAGAGAGGTGGAGGCCAGGTGTGGGGGTCTGCGCACATGGCAGTGAGAGGCAGGGTATTGGTGCATGTATATGGCGGGGTGTGCATATGGGACTTGCCCTACGAACACACACACACACCCTCCTGCTCCTGGCCCTGGGGTACCAGCACAGACCTCGTGCTCCCGCAGTCCGGCCATGCAGCTGGGAGCCATGTGGTGCAGGAGTGGTCAGTGATCAGGCAGGGAAGCAGTGAAGGGGGAAGGAGGTGGGGAGTGGCAGTGAGTGGGCACGCAGGAGTGTAGCAAGAACTGGGCAGGAGTGTGGAAGCCCATGCAGTGTCCTGGGGCCAGCACTGGTGGAGAGCAGTGGGGTGGCATGAGCACAGGGCCCAGGCCAGCAGGGGTCTACGGAGCTGGGTCAGGCTGCACCGGCAGAGAGAGAGGGGAGCCAGCCCAACTCCAGAGCCCCTTCCAGCCTGCACCCCGTGCCCCTGCCACCCCGCTCTGGGCCCCGTTGGCACTGGCCAGCCCTGACATACTGGCATGGGTCCCATGCTCCCACCCAGCTATTGCTGCGCTCCACACACCTGCTCACTGCCACTGCCACCCCTCCCCACTCCACCTCCCCCCGCAACATGTGGCCGCTTTCACCACTTCCCTGCCTGCCTGCTGGCTGCTCCTGCACCACATGGCTCTTGGCTGCATGGCTGGACTGCAGCACTCAGCAGGAGCTGGCCCAGCCTGGCCTGGCCCCAAGGACTGGGGCAATCCCAGAGGCCCTCCCCTGCATTCCCACCCTCCCCACTTACTTGAATTTTCCTCCAGCGCAGGGAGGCAGGAACAGCCCCGATGTCCCTGACCAGAAAGCTCTGCTAGGCAGAGGCTTCTGGGTGGGGTGGGGGGTGGCCCAGGCTGCTGGATCCTGCCAGTTCCCCCTGGGTCCTACTGACCCTGGCTCCTATCATCTTTGACAGGCAGATAGGAGTAGATAAATATTAATTTTCTAAATGTTTTAGGGGCCCCGCGGGCCAGACAATTGCCTGGTGGTATTTTGCCCACCCCTGTGGTAGTAAAACCAGATCCTTTCTATGCAAAGCAAGTGCAAGTCTCAAGCTCCAGATGAATTTGCATCACCCTAGTTGGACACACGCTTCAGATGTTTAAAAACAGAAAGAATGAGAACATTAATGGGGGCATCACAATTAAGAAATACATTTATAATCATACTATTGACATACATAGTTACAAAAGGACCTATAAGCCCGTTTTGAGATTAGGACCCACTGTGCAAATGATCAGTAAGATACAGTCCCCACTCTAGAGAGTTTGCAGTCTAAACAGGTAAGAGAGATGCAGGGGCACAGAGAAGGGATCGGACTTGCCCAGGCTGGTGAACAGTAGAGCCAGGAGCAGAACCCACATCATCTGAGTGATAGTCTAGTGTTCTACCCTCTAGACCTGGCTGATTTCTATGAAGGTGATTAAAGCCCAGATTGGCAGTTCTAGCATCTATGCCATTTACAAGAGCTTCTCTGTATTGCTAAGCTGCACCCTAAGGTCCTTGTTACACTGTGAGCCACACAAATGCTAATTGGTGTTAATGCTAGCTCCAGTTTGAAGCAGTCACATTTCAGGCCAGCAAGGAAGGGCTGGGAGGACTGAAAGGTAAGAATCCCTCCTCTCCCCCTCCCTGCCCTATTCTGGGCTTCCCCCCACCCCCAGGGGCTCTGTGGGTCCCCTCCCTATCCCCAGGGGTTTCTCCTTTCCCTTTGGGGTTCACCCCTGCCTCCTGCCTCCCACAGCCCCCAGGGCATTACTTATTTGTGGGTACCTGTGCTGTTTGTCCCAGGGAAGCAGGCAAGAAAGAGTTAATCTGCTTACCCTGCTGACACTGCAGCCTGGCTGCTGCACCTCTGGCCCAGAGAGTAGCAGGAGCTGAAGTAGTGGTGACTGGGCAAGTAGGTTAACCCTCCCCTGCCTGCACCCTGAGTAAGCAATGAGAGGGGGAGCGTAACCAGGGATCTGGCATGCTGGAGAGAGTGGAGGGGCAGTGGGCCCAATCCAGGCCAGTGGGAGAGGGGGGACAGGTGGGGTGTTTACACTAAGGTGTAGAGTGGATACATTTTAGTGTAGGGGTAGGTAACCCCCAGCACAGGTGCCAGAGTGTGGCATGCAAAGGCATTTTGCTTGGCACGCATGCCTTGAGGCAAACAGCAGGGAAGGGGCCAGGGCTGCACTGCCACAACAAGGAGCAGCCCCTTGCAGCTCCCCCGCCATCTGCCCCTGGCATGCCAACATTTTATATGTCGAGGTTGCGGGTATTTTTGTCACTCTGTCCAAAATCGTTGCTGACCCCTGCCTTAGCGTAACATGAGCTGGGTAACACAGATCAGAGAGAACTTAAAACTAGCTTCAGTTGTTAACGTGTGAACAATCCAGATATTAAGAGCTCCAGGAGCTGCCCAAAATTACCATGTTTCAAGGCCCTAAGTTGGAAGAAATGATTTACGTTGAGCATTATGCTAAGCCATAAAAGACAAGGTTTTTTCCCCAATCAGCATGGGAAGAAAGGTTTTCATCTTACATTTGCATAAAAAAACCTCATTAAATACAGTATCTGTCATTAAACTCCTGCCAAAAGCAACATGCGCTCAGTAATGGAAACCAACTTTGAAGCTGATTAAAGGCAACCAAAATTGAGCATGTTTATAAAACACGTGGCCCATATTGGGAAAACATACTGAAGCACAGTCCATTTGAGTAAGATATATGATAGTGCCCAATGCATACAGTCCCCCCCAGTGCTGACTCTTTTTCAAGTCATGAGGAGCCACTACACTGAATACATTTTGACTTCCTCTTCACTCCCACAGCTGAGCTGTGCCTTTCTTTCCCATTTCATAGAATCATAGAATGATTCCTGTTTCTTCACCAGTCTTAAATGTCTGGCGCACATCACCAAATGGGGTCCCAAACAGTTCCCTCAGAATCCCTAGGTTGCCCCTTCTCTCAGCCTTTCACATAAGATTACCGTAGCACTAAGCAGTCTGAGTTGTGGGGTCACCATGGCATGAAACACTGTTTGTTGACTCTGGTGGGGTCCAGTCCAATGAACTACAGGGTAAAGCATAAGCCATTTTGCGGGGTATTTTTTGCAAGGGTGTGTATATATAGGTACAAAAGTGCTGCTTAAAAGTGTGCTTATGGTATACCTGTGTTAAAACTTGCAGCAGTTTAAAAAAAAAATAACCTGACCCCCGCAGATTTATATTCCTTGTTGTAGCAGTGGGAGGGGGACAAATTCAAGCCAAACCTCCAATAATTAGATGTTATACCTGGAGAATTATAACAAGATTATAAATTTTCCATCTATAGAATCTAATTATTGGGGGCTAATCTTATAATTTGGGTGAATACAGTATGTAGTCTCCAAAATTAAAGTTCTGGTCTAGTCAGAAGGACATTGAGACCTCAATTGAGTATTAAAGTCACAGAGCACATCACAGAATCCACAGCTAGCACTGAAAGTGCCTTCTCCATATCAGAACAGAGCTGAACCAGGAAAGCAGAGAAGAATGCCTATAATTTTTTTCCACCCAGGCTATATCAGCCTGTCAGAAGAAGCCTTCAGGCTGCCAGCTGTTAATGGGCATCCTTTCTTAAGCACTAAAAACACTTGGGGGGGATACAACTAACAATGACACTACCCTGTTCATATAGGGCTTTTCATTTGTCAATCTCAAAGCACTTTGTAGACAGGAAAGTAAGTATCATTTCCCCTAATTCAGAGACAGGGAAACTGAGACAGAGGAGAGGCAAAGTCACAGTCATCAGTGGAACTGCTCTCCTGACTCTCAGCCAGATAGTTGGTCCACTGAAAAAGTGTCTCCAGGAGAGACTATTTCCATAATCATTAGCCCTGGAAAAACATAGCCATAAGCCTACTGCCAAACTAGTAAAGTGTTAACACCACAGCATGCTGAAGGATAAAAACAAAGGGAATTTTATATCAGTGTAATTATTTCCTTATCTCATACTGTGCTTTTAAATTGGGCAGGTAACCATAACATGGGATCTAAATCTGTGATGAGCCAAGTGCCCTCAACTCCTAGTTTTTTCAATGAAAGTGGAAGGATCCCAGCACTTGGCAGAAATCAGGCCCATGTTCCAGTTTAGTATGCTCAAGAGAATATAATGAAGCAGACAGGAACAGCATTCTGATAATTATACAGGTAAGAGGCTTATGGACTAATACAGGCTCCACTGTTCAGAGCAAATTAGTGTCTCATTGCGAAGAACTGGCTACTCAGGAACTCCATTAGCATTCAAAGAACTCCTTCTGGAAGACAGAAAGGAAGACTGTTGCATAGCAAAACTTACCACTGAGGTGTCAGAGTCCAGAGATGGAATTTGGTCTTTCACTGCAGAGAGTATGGCTCCCCACTGTAATGTCCTGCAGCCCTGGAAAGGAGTTGGAAGACCCTCAGATTGGCTCTCCTTATCCTTGCTTTCTCTTTCTGATGCCATTTGAAACAGCTTCCATGCAATCAAACTCAAATGCAAGAGGAGCTTCAGAGCATGTAACTAAAAAAAACCCCAAAACTTCATCAGTACAAAGTAGAAATGGATCCCACATCCATTAAGCAACAGCTTAATTCTTGGCTATCCTGTACTTTGAATTACTATGTGGTCAGCAGTACCCCAACAGTGCAGATATTGCCTGCACTACAGTATATGATATAGAGCCTTTGCTTTCCACCTGACTCCGATGAGGCTGATACCTTTCCGCTCCCACACCAGGAGGCAGCCAAGGGGCAGTTCATACCCTGGAATAATTTAGAGCAGCCTCAAAGATGCTCCTAATCGGGCAAGCTTATAATAACACCCTCCTACCCACCCCACTTGCCCCATACCCTAGAAAAGAGGCAGGGGACAGGTCGAGATGTTTCCATTCCACCAGTTCAATGTCCAGTAAAGGATCCTGTGCCTCTCCCCTAGCAACTGAAAGCTTTAAGCATGAGTTATCCTGCTGGAAATGCATAAAAACCAAGGACCTGACTTTTCAAAATGTTTATGAAAAATGAACTCTTTCCTTACTTCTTCCCAAATGTACATGTGGAAAAAATAGGTCAGAAAGGGGAGTGGAGTCTGCTGTGCTGTTTGGATCATTCTAATGGAGAAACCTTTCTTTTTCAATTTCTTATGATACAATTATATGACTTCCAGGAGGACTAAAAATGGAAGTAAATCTGTCCCAACTGAAAACAGAAGTTGGGTGGCTTGTGATTGCAGAGTTTAGTCAGTGAACTGATCACTCTTATTAAGTCACTCATCAGTATGTCCCTGCCATTCCCCCTGACAGACTGCTTAGCATGCACAGAGTAGAGGTCATTCTTGGCCCAAATGAATTTACAATTTAAACTGTGCAAAGTGAGCAATGTACCTTTGTGAATGCTTTCCACATACCATGCACTAAATATCTCTACTTTATTCATATAAGAGTGTTTGGGATTGGATGGCATCAAGATGCCTAACTGGATTCATGGCAGGTGAGGGCAGCTGAGGACATACAAAATTAAAGATCATTAGCAGTTCCTGATTGTTCTCTGCAAAGTGCAGCTGCATTCCCTAGTACTTCTGTCAATACGAAAATGGCGAAGAAGTCAGAATATCTCAGTATAAGGCACATATTAGGAACATGGGCCTTATGCCCACTGAGCAATGATAAGCCACCCCTCCCCCCTGCCATTAATAGAGGGGGCTATTAGGTGTGTATCAACTGAATTCGTGAGACAAATAAAAAACAAAACAGGCACAAGACTGAAGGTCAAGGTACAAAATGAGTGCACCAAGGGTGGACATGGGGCAAAGTAAATTGGACAGTGCCCACTAGCCTTCAAATGACTCCAAGGAGCTAGTGGACACCTCCCAGTGAAACTTTGCCTGGAGAGGTGAAAAGACAAGGGAAAGGTAAATGGCTCGGCAGTCTCTGGGGCAGGGTGGGGGGGCAGCCAGGACCTTTTTCCTGGTCAGACAGAGCACCAGCTTGCTGCCCTGGGATAGGAAACATAGGAATCACTGAAGTGGATCAGACATCTAGTCCAATGCTACAATAACCAGCACCAGACACATGGGGAAAATGCAAACACTTCTCTCCATTACGCAGATGCAGGACAATCTGCCCTTCTCACTGGGCCACTGCCATCCTCCATCCTTCAAGCTGGAGATTGCTTTAAAACCATTTTAGACTGGACATAAGGAAAAACTTTTTTACTGACTAAGTCTCCAGTCTGGAATAGACTCCCCCAGAAGTGGTGTAAGCACCTATGTTGGACACCTTTAACAAATGCTCGGATGCTTATCTTGCTGGGGTGATCTGACCCCAGATGACTTCCTGCCCCTTGGTCAGGGGGCTGGACCAGATGCTCTCAGGAGGTCCCTTCCACCCCTAACGTCTATGAAATCTATGAAACAAGAATTTGGAAGTTTAAACTTTCTCCCAAAATCTACATTAGCAGTTATTAGTATAATCCTGCCCATCACTGCATTGCAGGTCACTACCCCATCCCTCTGCAATCTTGCTCAATTTTCGGCCTGGGCCCCACGGGGCAATGAGCTCCAGCAGAGCTGCTCGCTGTGCTCAGCTTATTTATAGGGTTTGCATTTGCCCCCGTCTAATTGCAGTGCTGTCCTGCTCGTCTATCCCTTTCGAGCCTCATCGCAGGCCCTTCGCCAGCCCCTTCTTTAGTGTGCGTTACTTGGATCACGGTTTGCTTTCCCAGGCAAACAACTCTCGATCGGCTCAGCTCTCTGGTCCCGGGCCCGGCTCAGCCACTCTGCCCTCA